CGTTGTAGTTAATAGATAATAACTATAGTTAAAAGTTCTTGTAATTTTTGCTTGATTTATTTTCTACATTTACTTTATGAATTTTAATTACAGTAAGGATCACTTCAATTAATCGTACTATCTTAGTAGCTAGCTAATCACATTGTGAGCACTCTTAGCGATTATTTATTGGTCTAATTGGTACAAGTATTTAATATAAACTATTCATGTTTCATTTAGCTTCCTATCCACATTTGTCTGTATAATTCTATCTGTCAAGTGCATTTCTAAATTATACAAGTTATTACGGTATAGGGTGTGTAATATAGTACTCCTATTTTTAATATTTTCTCCGGCATTATGTATTATTAGGGTTATAGTGGACTGCTATGATATGTTTTTTAAAAATGTATTTACGCTCTATACTATATACATCTTAAATCTTAAGAAATTTCTTGTTTGTTTAAATTATAGTGTCTCATATCAATATAGTTATACTATATTTATTTGTATATCTGATATTTATTATCTGAATTCAAAATTAAATATAACTATTCTGTATTGGAATTGTTCACCATTTTTTAAAAGAAGCTTACATTCAGTTTAGCATGATAATGTCGAGCTATTTATATACTAATTTTATAGTTCTTTAGGTCTGAATATATCAAAATGACTACTATTTTTTTTTTAAAATAATACCTGATTAACCAAGTCTGGCGATAGTTGAGTACGTTTTGCGGATATGTAATTACAAGCGGTTGAAAACGATCTCTTGCTTGGCACAGAAGTAGCGGGAATTGACAAATACTTTTGTGCAAGATGAGATAGAACAGGAAACTCACTTTTATTCATGTCCCACCACTTTAAAGGATCCTGATCAATATTAATCTGCCGAATTCCTATATAACGTAAAACTTCATCCTCTGCAGCTACAGACGCACTACCACCCACTTTATTTTCCAAAGCTTTAAAAAAATCATCATCATCTGAATAATCATAAAAAGTCATTTGTTGTTGCATACTCATATCTCTGGGTTGGGAATCCTCTTTCATGGAATCATATAGATTTTGTAGTAATTCAAGAGACTTTTCTTTTTCTTCAAATATATCATCCCATTTAAAGTCTTTAAATTGGGGTCCAATATTGTTGCGATTTGAACTAAATTTGATGGTGCGGACTATAATTCATCTAATGATAAAAAGATTGCTGCTCGAACTTTTTGAAGACCAACAGTATTAGCAGCCGGTAATGATTCGATTTGATTAAACTCATCTACATTTGTTTCATTTTTAGCATCTTTTCGCTGGCTAATTGTTCTCTTTCTACCTTTTCCTCTTCCTCTTCCCTTAGTTATCAATATTCTTTTCCAAAATTGACAATGGGTATATTGCCAATGCCGTCGGGAACCACCAGATGGAATTTCATCATTATCACTAACTAAACTATCAAATTCTTCTTCATCACCATCTTTACATTGTTGTCCATATATTAAGTTAAGATATGTGTCATAGCTTTCTCCTTTTTCACACTTAGGAGCAAATGCTTTTTTTAATAATTCCACATAGGGATGGACAAGGCTTAAAGTACAATACGTAGCTCTGCATATTCGACGTGTTATTTTTCAAATGGTGATAAAAGCTTAATTGCGTCTTGAAGAAATATTATTTAAAAAAAGGTTAGAATTTAGTAATAGTTAATATAAATTCAATTTTTAGCCAGTGTAAAGTCATCCAATAAGCTGTAGCGGTAGTTACATGATTGCAACTATAGCTTTGGCCATGCAAAATTGATTTTTTTTGTTTTTCATTATCTAACTGACCTATTTTTTAATTTTTTTAAATCCCAACTGTGCCAATTATTCAATTTTTGCCGTTCATTTTCTTTTCTGCCTTTTATCTAGTGTTATCCAATAGAAACCTTAACTTTCTTTATATCTGATAGGACTGACAGAAAAAAAATGCAACTGAACTCAATTTTCTGATTTTTTGTTATGCAAAATGAAAAAAATTAACTTTGCATAACTTCATATGTGAAATTATTTTATTTCTATTAATTATAGTAGATTAAAAAAAAATCTGACCAACTAACCCTTTTTTAGGTTGTGCTATAAAAATATCGCAGTCTCATGATTACTGACCTCTTTCGGTGTAAAAATTCAAATTACGTATTACATTTAAAATAAAAGTTAGATATTATGTAAATTTAAAAAGCTATTGAGTAATACGTAATCTGTATTTTCAAATCAGAAGAGGTCGTGATCATGAGACCGCGACATTTTTATAGTACGACTAACCTATCTCCAATTTTCAGATTCTAATTTAAAATGAAAAATTAACTTTGC